GCCTGTTGGACTGAGGGCGGGTGGACGCTGGCTGGCATGGAGCTGAGAAGTGGAATCACATCCAATCCTTTTTGCTGCAGAAAGTTGGGAGATACTGAGACATTTAATCTGAACATTTGAAGTTCCTAGCATTATTGTAAAAAAAAAAAAACAACAACAACCCACTATCACACACAAGGCAGCAGTTAAATGCAAGAAATGTTACTAGGTGGAAAGTGAAAAAACAGAGCTGTTTCTCTGATGGGTTTTCTGTGCTTGTTTGCTGCTTGAGCTCTCCCTGAAGCCATCTGAGCCTCCGTCCTAAACGTGGGCTGTTCCTCCAGTTGTAGATGCTCTGCTGTCTGCCCAGTGCCTATGTACCTGATGGTTTAAGGAACAGAGATTTATTGGCACAGATAAAAAGCTACAGAGGTGTATCTGCTAACCACCAGCCTTGGGTTCATGTCTGCCTGTACCTTGTTTGACAAGTAAAAAGAAACAGCAAACGAAACGTTGTATGAATAGCATAATACACAAAGTAATGAGCTAACATCTCCTGGCAGGAAGTTATTGGTGCTTTGTGCTCCATCAGCAACTCCACCTTTTTTTAATTAAAATTGCTCCTTTGCTGCTTACTCTTCCAGCAGTTTATGAAGCCCAGTGCTTTGGTATTTAACATCAAAATAGCTCAAGAAACAATTCCAACCTTACTGCTTCCAAGTAGAGGTTTAATCACCAGCTGTTCCATTATGTGTGTGTACATATATATGTGTATTACTTTTTTAAATCATGGAGAGTAATTCAGTTTTAAGATAGAATGAAACATCAATAAACTTCTGTAAATTGAGCAGGCTTTCTTTAATCTGGAAACATTGAGCACCTGGCAGCTGCACTGACGGGTTTTGCCCTGGTTCAGGTAATGGGATCAGAAGGAAAGATTGGTAGAATTTATGGTGTAGTTTCTAGAATTAAACTCATCTGAACAGTTCTTCGTTCATGTCCAGAGTCTTCAGAAAGAATACCAAACAAGTAGGAAACTTGTGTTTGACTTGAAGGAAATTTGAAATCGCAGGTTGAGTGGGATTTTGGCTTATTTCAAATCAAAATCAGAAGCTTTTATCGGACTAAAGCTAAGCACAGCTCCTGCCCAACGCGTGTGCAGGCGTGCAGCGCGCGTTCACTAAGAGTTGGTGAGGACTTTCCTGCCTGTTTTTCAGTCTCACGTCTCCGTATGATGTTGGTTTATTTTTTCAGAGTTATTACAGGAGAGCAGTGCTAAGGATTGCAGGCCTACCTGAGCGATGGAAGCGAGAGGGAGGAGAAGGAACTGCTTTGCATGCGCTCAACCGTGAGTTGGAGGTGGAAGGTGTTCATTTGTTTCGGGGGCTGTCTCTCTAATTTGGAGTTGTCTTTTGGGATAGATTGAGAGTGCTTCATCTTCCCATTCGGGTGGATTCTGCTGGCTGTGTGTGGCAGCAGCCAGCTGAGGGGTTACACAGGAGAGGAGAGGCCTTTCCTTTCGTACAGTCAGTGTAGGTGTGTAAATAGGCAATGCCTGTATATTGAGGATTGTATATATGTATATAGAGGAGTCGTATATCTATTATAAATAGTCAGTAGACACGTGTAGACTACTGCTGTATTTACATTTTTATTACCTTGAATTATATCCATTTTTTCGTATTTCCTGAGGTTTTGCAGCAGCTCCTTGGTAGCTGCAGGACACCTTTCAGTACTGTACGTGTGGCACTGTTGGTAGCGTTGCTTCAGAAGCCGTCTCTGCTTCTGAAGGTCACTCATGTCCGTGGGGTTAAAGTGGCTGTTGAAATCAGCTATACAGTTTTGTATTTTTGTATATTTTTATTAATAGTTGCAAATGCGGTGTGAACCGACAGCAGTGCCGGGTCAGCCCTCACCCACGTGTCCTCTGCGTGCTCTCCTAGAGCAGCACTGCTTCCTGCCTGCGCCTCCGAGCAGCTCCTGCAGGCACGGAGCAGTGGTGCTGTGCTCAGCTGAGCTGACACCAGCAGTGCTCTTACCGTGGGCTTACGAATCTTTGCCTAGCAAGGGATGTTGGCGGCTGCTCAGCGTGGGCTGCAGTTGGGTGATGATGCTGAGGCTTAGTCTGTAGGCATTCCTCTTCTCTTTGCCCCGATGCTTGCATGCAAGGGGAGCATCTCTCAACTTGTTTTTATTTTTGAAGTAGTTGCTATCTGGAGCACTGTCTCATAGGAGCCTTGTGAAAGCTCTCCCCAGTTCCGCCCTATGGGAAACGCTGTCCCGACCCACACCAGTTTCCTGCAGGTTGTCTGAGGAGTTGAGCTCCCTAAAAGGAAACCCAGATTGTAAGCTCAGCAGCGTGTGCTTTGTCCACCATGACTCCTCAGGCCAAATCTGATCGACCCCACTTCAGTTTGGCATGAAGCTGATCTGTAGATATTGTTGTCCTGGTGCAGGTGTTGTCAAAGCATCTCTGCTAAACTGAAGGTAGCGTCCTCGTTTCTTTTCTCTGAGATGATTTCCACTGCTTCTGGAGATGGAGATCTGTAGCTTTTGCTATCACAATTGATGAAATTGCTCATAACATATCAATGTGCTGGGACGAGGTGAGGAACAAGAGGATTTCACTGCCTCTTGAGGGATACTCACCGAAATTCTTTGCAAGTGTTCAGTTTAGCCTCCAAAATTTCAGCACCTAGCCCACTGAAGGCTTTGTGTGTGTTAGTTGTAATTCAGGTGAGGAAAGGCTCCTGTGTTCAGACGATGAAAATTGCCTTATCTTCCCTTAGTCTGCAAAGCTGCCCCCTGTAAGCTGGTGAGGATCTGCCCCGTGCCCCTGGCCCAGGCTGCCAGGCAGCATTGCTGTGCCCTGCAGCCCCCAGGCACTGCCTCCCCCCAGGAATCATAGAACTGGAGGCAAATTCCAGTGTCCCGCATAAAAGCCCACAGCATTGCTGAAGCCTTTTAATTTTGAACGCTGTTTGAAATGAGACAACTGTGCATTTTTACTGGAGCTCATTGATGATGAGTAAGCTCCGCAGTCATTCAGATCAGAGCATTCTACCTCTGCTAACACCCGCGTCTGTCTTGTGGCGCGCCGCCTTTTCTGCCATGTTTTCCTGCAGTGCACTGGTCAACCGCTGAGCTGCCTTTTCCCTTGTCCTGCAGTGTGAAAGTAGCACCAGATATTCCCTGTGCATTTCTGTGTATATGGCTTTCGTAGATGGGATTTTCAAAGCACTGATCGCCAGTGCTTTCGGTTTGTTCTATGAGGGGGATATTTCATTTGCATCTATGTTTTTAGCTATCCTGTGATAACATGTTGAATATTAAAAAATAAAAATATTTTGCTTCTATTGGGACATTTGTATACTCGCAACTATATTTCTGTAAACAGCTGCAGTCAAGAATAAAACAATGAAAGTTTTCATTTTGCAGTGTAAAGTCCTGTTGTGGTTCTTTTCAAGGACACCTCCCTGCTGGGGAAAAAAAAGGCTGTCTGGAAAGACAAAAGTGCATGAGTGCATGGGTTTGTGCCCTTGGTGCATGCCTTATGCTGTTGCATAGGAAGAGGCAGCGTGTCATGCACACACTCTGCAGGGGGGGGGAACAATTGCAATGTTTCTTTGTTATTATGTGGTCTTAGGTCCAATGTTGCTTACTGCCCAAACACCAGCTTTGAGTTACAGAGATTTCAAGGACGTAATTCATGATTTGCCTGAGGTGGGGATTCCCTCTGCGGTCTCCCATGGTCCCATCCCTGGGCTCTCCTGTCCCATCCCTGGGCTCTCCTGTGGGGCCGGCAGTGGCTTCACCCCGCTCAGCTCAGGCAGAGCTGGCAGCAAGGCCGAGGCCTGGGATCTGCCTTGTGCTCAGCTGGATGCAAAGAGATAGAATGAATAGACGAGTGAATACAATCAATTAATGTAACTGGAAGTATGCCTTGGTAAATGTGGCTGCGTTCTGAGGGGTCAGCTTGATCAAGATGATGCTTTGTGGGAAACAGTGCGTGATCTGAGGTAGTTCCTTCTTGGAATTTTCAGATGGATGCGCAAGCTGGAAAAATAACAGGGATACAACTTGGCAGAAGACAGCTTGTGCAGAGAGCGCTGCGGTGCGTGGCAGTATGGGCTTTGTGCATCTCCAGGATGGGAAAAACTACAACATAGGTAAGAAACAAAAACGTTAAACGTACCCTGAGTTCTGACAGAATGCACTGCTGTACGATACTGGAGCAGACATCAGAGCCTTGAACCTTGTTATAGCACAGGAGGAAACGTGGCACCGGTTTGCTTGCTGTGGGAGGAAGGGGCGTGTGTTGGTGTGCATTGCTGTGTGGGTGTTCAGTTTCCTGTTAGCATTTCTTTTCAATGATGCATCCAAGTCTGAGCTCCTTGCTACGTCCTCAGCGTCCCAGAGCCCGCCTCCAGAGAGCTGCGTCACCATCATGGTCCTTCAGCTTCTGAGTGGGTGAGAAAAGGGAGCAGAGGAGATCCTTCCCGCAGCCTGGCACAGCCTCACTCTCCCTCTGGGCTCAGTCCCATGCAGTGTTCGCTGCCCACGCTGATAATCCGATGCCCGCTGCTATGGATGGAGCCCCCCAGCTCAGGCCTCCCACCCCTTGCCCCACATGGCTTAGCCAGCACCGTGCTTCTTTACAGTAACAGCTGCTGCCTCGGAGGGGCCCTCAGCCCCCTTTCTTTGAATTTCAATCCAGACTCCTCAGCTCAAATACTGCCCCACTACATGGCTCATTCTGTGGATGCATGTGCAGGAGGTGAGGGATGGGGTGCTGAGGCTTCCCAGGACATGACAGGACCTGGAGATCAGGGACCTGGAAATCAGGGCTGTGTCAGTCCCTGAGGCTGTGGCCTTGGCTGCAGTGGGGCCGCCCGGTGTCAGTGGTCCCCAGGGTTCCTGCCCAGCTCCAGGGGTGGGCAGGGGGCAGCCCCCCAGCTGCACAGCAGAGCTGGGCCTGAGTCTGCACTGCCTGATGGGGGCAGAGAAGAGCACACCACCTCCAGGTTCTGGACCTCAATTTATTGTTGCATTCACGCAGGCCTCAACCCCGGGCCCTTCCCTTGAGCCCCGAAGCCTTGATTTTGAATAAAATTGTACAGAAAAATGTCAAGAAAGAGAACACAGAAAAACAAGTGCATGCAGGTGTGGGGACTGCCCTTGCCACGGTGCTGTGAGGCCAGGCCTGGGTCTCAGTGCAGGCGCAGGGCCTGGCTGCTACTTCTGGGCCTGGAGCTGCTCGTTGAGGGGCACGGCCTTGCCCAGGTGCTGCCCCACCGACAGGCCGTGCTGCTGCCCCTCCTGCTGCGCCAGCACCTCGCGCTTCAGAACGAAGCCGCCGGCCAGGCTCATCTCAAAGCAGCTATTGGGGACGAAGCTGAGGGGCTTCTCCTGCTCCACGGCTGCCAGGCGGCTCTTCCATGCACTCAGCATCTGTGCCCGCGCCTCAGGACTCGCGTAGCGCACGCTGTAGAAAATCTGGGGCGCCAGAACCTGGAAGCCGCAGAAGTGCAGAGTCCCCCGCTGCGGCCAGGGTGGGAAGAGCTGTCAGCACGGTGCCCTGGTACCACGCTGTCCCCAGCCCTGACCGTACTACCTGCATGGGCCACAGCAGCACGTTCATGTCGCCGTTGATGCCGCTGGGGCTGTACATGGAGCCCATCCCGCCGGTGGTGAGTGACAGCATGGCTTTTTTCTTCTGAGGACGGGAAGGGGAAAGGCAGGGGCTGCAGGGCCAGCACGTGTTCCCCCACAGCCCCAAGGCCTACCTGGAAGGGCCCCTGGTCGTACATGCTGGCCAAGGAATAGGCGAAGCCGTCGACGAAAACGCGGTCGAACCAGCCCTTGAGGATGGCTGGCATCCCAAACCACTGCAGCGGGAACTGCGGGCACGGGTGGGTCAGGCAGCGAGCGCTGCTGCTCTTTTCCCCCCTGAAACAGCCCCTCCAAAACCAGCCACCCCCCACAAATTCCCCCTCAGCCCTTGCAATGAAGACTGCACCGCAGTCTTGCCTGGAAGATGACCAGGTCGGCCGCTTCAATCTTCTTCTGCTCGGTGACGATGTCACTGCTGAGGCGTCCCTCCTTCCATGCATGCCCCATCTCCATCTCGTAGACAAAGTGCTCGGGGTTCTTGGGGGGCCCTGCAGGGAGGGTGGGGGCTCAGGGAGGAACAAGCTGGGGGCTGGTGGGGACGATGGCTGCACTCGTACCGGTGATGTCACGCCGTGAGAGCACGGCATTGAACCCGATGGCGTAGAGGTCTGAGATGGTGACTTCCCAGCCCTTGTCCCGCAGCGCGCTGCTGGCTGCTGCTGCCATGGCGTGATTGAAAGAGGTTTTCTCGGGGTGCGCCAGCACGATGAGCGCCTTGCGGCCTGTGGGGAGGATGGTGCTCAGCAACGGGGCCGACGGACCCACGTGGCTGAACCTGGGAGTCCACACTGCCCTGCGGAGCCCCGTGGATGCTGCACGGACCCCCTTACAGTTGTCCCCCAGCCAATCCCCAGCAGCACCCCGCCGCTGCCCCAGGCAATCCGTGCCGGGAGCTGCAACTCCACGGCCACGTGAACCCACGAAGGCAGCAGTTAGTGGTGCAGTTATTGCCTGCTGCAGATCGGTGCTGCAGAGAGGGAAGCAGAGTTGGAGCCAGTAGCATCGAGGCCCTGGTGCCGCTCACTGGCCCCGGGCAAGATTCGCCTGTACCGGTACCAGTGCTGACCTACCTGCCATTGCCGGGGCGGTTCGGCTCCCAGGAGCGGAACTGGAGCGAGGCCGGAACACCGCTCGCGGCCAGTACAAACGCTGGCTGAACTTCGCTCGGGCAGGGCTTGCTGAGGCCCGGGGGGCCGGCCGAGAGGCGGGGCGTGCGGTACCGAGACTCACTCGTGCCGCCCCGCTGCTCGCAGGCGAGATTCCAGGCCCGTTGCGCGTCTCCAGCCGTGTCCCTGCCAGCACCCATTGCCTGGGACATCACCCGCTGCCCTCGGGAGCCCCGCCCCCCCCCCCCCTCCCCCCCGTGCTGTTTTCATCCCCCTGGGAGCCACCAGCCCCCCGTGTTATGTCATGGGTCTGCTCTAGGGAGAACCAAGGGCTGTCATCTGCACAGGGTCGTGCACCCAGACCCCTGACCTCCCCTTCCCCCTATGGGCAGGTACCCTGCCTCACATCCAGCAGCGTGTAGCTGCAGGAGCAGCTGTGCACTGCAGGTGGGGTGGTTTGGGTTGCTGTGCAGGTGCAGATGGGCACACAGCCCAAGAAAGGTTGGCTGTAAAATCTGCAGTTCATATCTGCTTGTCAGGGAGTGCCCTGATAGAAATCGTCCCAGGGTGCTGCTGGTGGGCAGCAGCCCAACAGCCCTGCTTTCCCTTCAGTGGAAAAAAGACTGAGTCATGGTGGTGTAGCATTTCATGTTTATTCGCTACGCTGTCATTCAACATGGCGTCCTTGGAAATAAACAGGAATGCCTATACCCCACTAGCAGTGTAGCCAGCACCTTCCATGTGTGCTGGGTCTGGCAGGCAGTCAGGGTCAGTACATCACACACCCAGAGCCTTGCCCCTGCTGCTGCCTGCCCCGCTGACACCTGAAGAAGCCCAGAAGGAAAGGCTGGGTGCTGGCGCTGCAGGCATCTCACCCTCCTGCTGTCACTAGGTGCCATGCAGTGCCCAGGCAGCCCACCTTTCCCTCACAACTGCACTGCCAAAGGCCCTGAACTGCCCTTCATCTTCTCTTCACAAATTTCTTTGTCACAGCGTTGGGGTTCAGGCGCCTCCTACCAGCGCCCAGTGCCATGTCCCGGATTTGCAGGTTGGCTGCGCGACTGTAGATATCGTTTTCTGCAAAGGGAGAGACCCCTGCAATGTAGTCGGGGTCGAAGACGTTGGTCTTCTGCCTGGCCTTGCGGGATAGCCGCTGCTGTGGGAAGGGCTGGTCCTCCACCAGGTGCGGGTTGTTGGCATGCTTCCCTCCCTGTGGCGCTGGCAGCGGATACTGCCCAAAGAACAGACTGTTAAACCTCTGGGGTAACTCCTGGTTAGAGGACCTTCACAGTGACTGCTGGTTTATAGAGAACTCAGCAAAAGAAGCTTGAGAGTCCCTGCAGTAAGTGAACACCCAGAAGGCAACCACAGCTCTACCTAGCCCAGCCCATGCAGCAACTCACCCTGAGTCCCCGTGGGTTCAGCACCTTGGGGTTGCGGGAGAAGTGCATGTGGAGGCTCCCATCCTCACTGACGCTCACTGCAACTTTCTTCAATGTCTTGTTACCGCAGTGAGGGCAGAAGACCTTGGTCATGTCTGAAGTTGTCCTGTGGTAGACAGAGATGGAGGAGGTTTACTACTCCCTGGGCTGCAGAGCAGAGGCCCAGCCCAGGAGTGGGATTACTGCCCATCCCCAGAGACTGCCCCTTGCCCTGGTGGTGCTGTGTCTGCACCTGAAGCAGCCATGGCAGCGCAGGATGTGGCTCCGGGCCTGGCGGATCAGCATGCCATTCACTGCCAGCACGTGGAGGCCCATCTGCAGCAGCACATTCTGCCATGAGGGGGAGAAAGCAAGATGCCATGAGCCCAGCGGCTCTACCCAGGTTTGCCTGCCTGGGCAGCAAGAGGCCAAAGGCAGCAAAGCCAGCAGGCCTCTGCTGTGAGGAGAACTGGCAGCTTTGAACACAAAAGAAGGCACCGCAGAGTGACTTTTGTATGGTACGTGTGTGGGATCAACCGAGCTGGGGGCTGGAGCCAGTGCCATGAGGCAGCACTCACCTGCATGGAGAAGTCTGTGGTGACACAGCCAACCTGCACGTCGGCAGGCACAGTGTCACAGTGCCCCGTGTCCTGCTGGACCTGCTTGAGGTTGCTTGGTGTTATCCAGCCCTCACTGTCATCATCACTCTCCTCATCCTCTTCCTCCTCGGCACCATCCCCATCCTCCGAGCTCTGGCACTCATCGGTGGCCACTGAGCTGCTGGAGATGCTGTGTGTTTTCTGCAGAGATGGGCAGTTGGTGCTGTGTACACCAAGGAGCCGGGATGCAGGGCAGTAAGCACAGCAGCCTCACCAACATCTCCTGGAGCTCATCCTCGATGCTGGGCAGGGGCGGCCTCCAGAAGAGGAAGGAGCCAAACTCGGCGTTGTCGGGCAGCTCTGTGCTGCTGTTGGGGCTGTGCTGCTGCTGCTGGCCCTTCCGCAGGCGCTTGTGCTGGAGGACACACAGCAGCCCAAGGCTCCACATCCCCATTCCTCTCACCCCCCACACCCCCTCTTTGTCCCCGTCACACCCCATACCTTGGCAGGCAGGTGGAAGCCGGCGAGGTGCAGCGTGGCCTCGGGGTGCCGCGGGCTGGAGCTGAGCCGCACCTGTGGGCAGCGCCAGGCTCAGCAGTGCCCGCAGCCCATCCCCACTCCCCAGCCCACTCCTTACCTTCTCCGGGGGCTGCAGACGGACGCTGCCCGGCCCCGCGGTCTCGGCCTGCAGCTGGCAGGTGAGCGCCAACACCTGCAGGTCGGCGGCCGACAGGCTGGGGAAGTCCCCGGTGCGCTTGGCGAATTCGGTGACTGCGGGCACGGGGGAGAGGAGCCCGTTATCCCCACAGCCGCACGCGGCCCCGCCGCCTCCACGCGCACTCACCCGTCCGCACGAAGTCGGCCCGCGGGCGACGGAGATGAAGCTCGTAGGGCAACGCGGCCAGGCGGCGCCGCGCCCGCCGGTCCCGGATCTCGGCCAGCACTTCGGGTACGGTGTACACGCTCTGCGCCACGTCCTGCGGGTGGGCCGCGGGTCAGCTCAGCCCGGCCCGGAGCCTCCCCCCATCCCGGAGCCCTCGGTCCGTACCTGCAGCGCGGCGCCGCTCAGAAACGCGCCGGCGTCGGCTACGACATGCGGTACCCGCGCCATGCCAGTTGTGTCCCTCCCCGCACCCCGTAGCGCCGCGCGGAGCCCGACGGGAGCGGCGCTGCTGGAGCACTTCCGGGCAGTGCGGTCAGGTGCGCGCGGGGTCACGTGACGGCGGCACCGTAGCCGGAAGCGGGAACGCAGCGGCTGCCGGTGAGGCGGGTGAGGGCTGGGCGGCGCGAAGCGGCGGGGTCTGGCGGTCGTTTCTGGCGGTCGCTGAGCGTGGGGAGCCGTTCCGCTCAGCTTTACCGGCGGCGGCTGCTGGCCTCCAGAGGGGAAGCCCGTCGGGGCGACCCGGGGCACCGGCTGTGGGGCTGGCCGGGTAGGGGGCCGAGGCCTGGGTGGGAAGAAGCGGCGGGCCTGTGGGAGCTGCGGCGGCGGCGGCAGCGTTGGCTGAGGAGGCGGCGCCGGGGCTCAACCCGGAGTCCGGGAACTGCTTCTGCCCTCGGCGGCACCGCGGGGCGAGGGGCTCCGGGCGCTGGTTCGGCACCCAGAGACCGTGCGCGTTTTGTGAGGATCCCGACCCCTCCCGCCTCGGACTGAGCGCAGCGTTGCAGCTCTACCGGGGCGCGGGGGAAGCAGAGGGCCTGGGGTGCCCCTACGCTACTGTGCCGTGAGGTGAAGTGAGAATCAGAGGATGAGAAAGCGGGCAGAAGGGGGCAGGGTTCGTAGCCGCCACCAGCGAGGAGCCGCGCTAACGCGGCCGTGTTCCCGCCGTCCCGTGTCGGGCGGTGCTGGCGCTCCGCAGTGCGGGACGCTCGGTGACTGCGCTCGGCTGACTGGCGCTGCGGCTTTGTAGGTCGTGGCGGGAGAGCGCGAGGGCTGCGTGTGGTGAGGGTTTGAAATGAGTGCAGCGAACTATGAATCCCTGCCGGGTCAGCTTCCCCAGCAAAGCCTGGGGCTGTGTCTGTGTGGGATGGCTGCAGAGGTCTGAAACGGTGCCTGAAGTTGAGGAAGGATCGGGGATCCCCAGGTCCCGGCACGGCAGTTCTGGGGTGTGGGTCGCTGCCGGTGGCACAGGAAGTGCCCTGGGGAAGAACTCACTGCTCCGTCCTGCACAGGGCTTGGTTGCGGGCTGGCTGCGTTCTGTGGCACTTGCTGATGTTTCTAATGAAGTGAGTGGTGATGTGGAACTGGGGGGGTCAACCAGCAATATCCTGGAGGGTGATCTGTTGAATTGGAGTTGGAATTCCCACTGGAGTTGGAATAGCTTGTAATAGCAAGGCATTCTGTCTTGGATATGACCTCAGTCTGTAAGCTGGCTCCCAGCTGCCAGGGAGGATGGAGGGCATCTTGCCAGGCCCCCACCTGGTCTCGTGTAGCCCAGCAGTAAGTTCCCAGCAAGGCTGTGTTAGGCTGCTAGGCTCAGCCTTATGCCAGGCTGGTACCAGGAGGGGTGTGGGGAGCCTGTGTTGTGGGAGGGGTTAAAAAGGAGCTAGCAGAGGTTGAGACAGGGCCCCGTGAGAGCAGCATGATACCATAGCTGACTGCTGGGGCCAGACTGAGCACCTCGTGCTCCTGCATGATCCCTGACCCTGGGATTTTCCTTCAGAGTCAGGCATTTCAGTAGAAAAACTGCTGCCTCTGCCATAGAATCATAGAATCACAAGGTTGGAATCATCGAGTCCAGCCATCTCCTCAGCACCATTGCCACCACAAGCACTAAACCATATCGCACAGCATGTCATCCAGACGCCTCTTGAACACTGCCAGGGATGGCAGCTCCACCACCGCCCTGGGCAGCCATTGCAGTGCCTGACTCTCTGAGAGAAGTAGTTCTTCCTTCTGTCCAATCTAAGCCTCCTCTGATACAACTTGCAGCCATTACCCCGTGTCCTGCTCATTGCCTGGGAGAAGAACCCAAATCCCTCTTCACCACAACCTCCCTTCAGGAAGTTGTAGAGTGCAATGAGTTCTCCCCTCAGCCTCCTCTTCTCCGGACTGAAC